TAACATTAAGACAAGGTTTAAGAAATAGCCACATTTTTGTTATGTAATGGAATCACCGTTACAAAATTGAACTTTTAACAAATAAAAGTACGATAAATTGTGTTGTGCTTATCTTAAATCGCTTGTGTTTATCTTCCTTAACTAACAGCGTTATACAGGGTGTCTCGCCTAAAGTGAACCAATAGCTTTTTTTGTGAGATGGACAGTTACCTTTTTATAGGGCACTTTCCTTTATTTTTTAAACTTTTCTTGGGATGCTTTCGTATTTTAAAAGTATGACCTTCATTTTCCATTAATACTGACCACTATTAATATTTCTTATAATATCTACCCGTAGTCTCTGAATCAAGGACGTAAAGATGAGGTGTATAAGTTCGTTTTACAGAAATATATAAATTATGAAACTCTTAAAAACGTATCCTTAACAAAGGTTTTCAAACTGAAAAAGGGTATTAAAGCTGTAGGATTATTATTTCTGATAATTACAAGGCATTATTGATAAAGCCTCTTACTAGAAAGTTGAAAACTCTACGCATTCACGTAAGGGACTTTTACATGAGCAGATTTAAAATATAAATTTAATCTTCATAAAAACAAGCTATGAATAAAGACGACTAATATTTATTGTCTTTAATATAAATTAAACTTAGAGTTTAGGTAATTGTTAAATCTAATTGAATCTAAGACAGCTTTGTAACAAAACATAATTTTTACAACGTACTATTTTAAATCGTTTTAAATATTATCTTTTAGATAAAACTATTAGGCTAATAAATCATTAATTTGACATAATTTCACGAATTATTGCTTGTCTTTAACACTATCAATTAAATTACAATCCTAGGACACAGCACTAAAAGTTATTTTAGACATGGCACAAATTCTTGAGCTTATGTAGATTAATCATACATGATACATATAATTTTGACTCAATTTGAGTTGTAAATCAAAGTTTTTACCTCTGATTTTTTATGGTTTTTCATATTATTAAAAATTTTAAAATGCCTAAGGAAAATATTAAAATAATCAACATAACAGAGAATACATATTTTTCTGAACTAAATATTTTTTGCGAAGAAAGATATAGGCTAAAAATTGAAACAGTAAATTTAATAAAAACAATGCTTGATCTCAAAGTTATATATTACTCATTCAAGGAATGTATGAAAATGCCTCATTAATGACATAATTCTGCTTTTAAATGTTACAGCTCAGGCTTTAATTGTATAACAAATTACCATATTTCTGTTTAGTTAAAAAATCCTCATAACATTGTAATAGTCATGGTAAGGAAATATCTCTATATTTAATCACATTCTTTTTTATACCTGTGCTTCTGTATTTTTTTTATTTGTTTAGTCCAACAATTGTTAAGTCCAACAAAGAACTGTTTTTATTGTTCACATTCTTTTTAAGGGGAAAATGTAATTTAAATACTATCAACACGTTCATATAAAGGAAAATGATATATTGGTTAAAAGAAAATCGAGTTAGGTGATTTTTTTAAGTACGAAGCATTTACATGCTTTAACACTTTATTTGTGTTTTTTTTTTTCACTTTAGGTGAAATCTGCTTATACATTTCATTATATTTAACATGAAGTATACTTATTCCTTTTTAGTGCACAAGGGTATGTTGAGATGCCACAGTAGTTTTATTCAACCTTTATACAACACAATTATTAATTAAAATCAGATTAAAGACACAGATTCTAAGATAACAGATATTGCAAAATATATAATTTTTTTTACAAGATAATCTTAAAACAGACTAAAATACATCATTTAAAATATTCTATACATAAACGTTTCTATGATATAGAATATTTTCATGATATTTTTTTTTTATTTTGGTGTTTAGAAGGCTAAGTATTATTATTTAATATTACAAAAATGTCATACAGTAATATTTATAATTTTGAAGAACTATTAAATTGTACTGCAATAACTTGAATAAGAATTATTAGAAAAAACATTCAACCATAAAAATAAAATGAGTTTTTCTATGAAACACAAAATCATTGTTTGTGTTATTATTAAATAGCTCTGGTCTAGGGAGTCTTGAAGAGATAACACCACAGTAAACCCTAGGGTGACATTAACAAGTCTCCTGTCTACGGCCAGCTCGGGGTATCTTTAAAATTACCCGCCAACCATGTTCATCGCCATAGAATAATACCATTCTGTGGAGTTTCAAAACATTATTTATGGCTTAGAATCCTAGGCTATATAAGCGTTTTATAATTTAGATTTGTAGGTGAATTTTTAAGAAAAGAAACGTTAGATCTTAAATAAACGTCATGAGTAAATTTCTCCGTGATAACTTTTTTGAAAACTAATCTCATGGGAGTTTTATTTTACAGTGCAATCAATCAGGCATTGTTGGTTGTTTACTGATTGTTGACTTTTCTTAATTAACTTTCTGTTTATCTACCGAGCCCAAGGCACCATTGGAAAAATTGTCAAAATAATGACAGATGTACTTTTGAAATCTAACAAAACATTAGGAAATTAGTAAAAATTATTTACCAAAATACTAAAATTATAATTGATAATTATTTTATGTTTATTCTTTAAACTACTCTAAGGAGCATAACAGAGTTAATAAGTTAAATTATAAAATAATCATTACAAAAAAATATTTCACAATAGTAGTTTACGCAACGATTGCGTTAAGTGAGTCTTTACGACACGAGCCTTAAAAACTTCTACGAGTGTCGTAAAGACTATTAACGCGAGTTGCGTACACTACTTTCCCTACGACCGTTTTTTAATTACTATCAATCTGGATTTAATTACTAACAATCACTACTGATAACTTTTTAGAGAGGTAATGTTTTCGTGTATTGTCATTGCCACTGAAAGTGATGCAACGACTTGTTGTATAATCAGCTGATTTCCTGTAATTACGTGTTTGTTAAACTTCGTTAAATATTACATTGCTAGCAGCATTCTTACCATAAATAATATTGTATCAGGTACAATTCGGCAAATATTTCATTTATTTTTGGACTTCCACCAACTTAATTAAGAATACGCGAGTATCAACATGAACAAGTCGGATCAACAATTAAATTGGTCAACTGATCAGCTGATCAGCTGATTAGTTGGCGTTCGAAGCATTACAATTTTAATTCTTTTCTCTCAATACTTGAACCTCATTGGTCTGTTACCTGTGTGGACATGAGAAAAACTATGCTGATATAAAATGAAACTATGTTGATATGAAAGTAAACAGCTGTAAAGTGAAACTTTTCAATTCTAAGAACTGGACTGAAATGGCTACTTTAAAAAACGGTCGGAGGTAAAATTATTTACCAAAATACTATAATTTATAATTATTTTATGTTTATTCTTTTGACTACTCTAAGGACCATAACAGAGTTAATAAGTTAAATTATAAAATAATCATTACAAAAAAATATTTCACAAAAAATGTTTACGTTATAAAAGTGTAGTGACAGCTGGTTAAATATTTTGCATTTAATTTGTTAACACTTGTTATGTTTATTGTGAGTTGTGTATATTTGAGTTTTTACCTAGTTACTCTTAAATAAAAGGTTGTACATTTTTCTTCTGACATATTATATATTTATTTATTTGACACCAATAAAAAACGTATTACTGAAAGCATTGTTTAGCACTATCTACAATTTCTTTTAGGCTAAATACATCATTAAAGATTATTCCAGAGTCAAAAGCCGTTTCTAATTAAATTTAAGACATTTGCTACATCACATACGTAAACAAACAGATCCAAATCCTCTTAGACTTAATTAGCTGTGATCTTCAAAGAATCTAGAGTTTCAAGATATTCCTAATTAATGTAAATATTTTCCTTACATTCATCCTTTATTAAGCGTCTTATTAATCAGGAGAACGTATTGTTATAAGGATTATTCTGTAGGTTGTGACGAATTTCAAGCTTGTATCTGCCAGTTTCAAAATTTATCTACGGTAAACGTTTTCCTTTTAAGTTCTAAAAAACGTTTACGGTTTGATTTGTATCCTTAATATTTTTTCGATACCTAAATTATTGGTTAAAACACGAGACTTAGCTTTTATCGTGGTTAGTATTTTTAAAGTTCAGGCTTAAGCTAGTCTTTCACTGATGGTATTTAAGTATCTAATAAAACTACAACACACATTCTGAGCCTTAAATAAGCTTCCGGCCCAGCTTTTAACAGAATTACATGTTTATATCAAAACTGTACTTGCCACAAACGTTTTTCTCTCAGTGAGTTAACATCTTTTATTTACTAGCATTCAAAAAAAAATATTTCAGGAATTATATATATATTTGTATATAGCTTTTTACAAAATAATTTATAAACGTTACCATAATTTTACAAACATTTTCGATGTTTTCTTTTACTTTAGATTTTAGACACTTTAATTGTTTATCTACTAACTTAAGCAAAGAAATGGTTTATGTATTTGTATACAAAAGACGAACAAGCGATAACATTTGGACTTTACACATATGCTTAAAGAAAGCTTTGAAAATTACATCGGAAGCTTGTAAGTAGTTAAGCTTCTTTTTACTCGACTGAAATCCTCGCATGCCTAACAAAAACTGTTTTGATGGTTTCCCTTGTTTTTTCTTATTTAAAATGCATACTCAATTTGTTTGCTTAAGAAGACTTTCCTAAAACAAATGGATGGTACGAATGTATAATTCAGGCAATTATTCCCCTCGCGAGATGTATATTTTTCATAATTTATCATAAGCTATAATCAATATATTTTAATTTGTTTAACATACAGAATATTGTCATACCACTATATTAAACTGTAAGCATTTAAAACTAAAAGCCATCTTGTACCTTTACCAATGACTTCTAACGTTATCGATACTATACTTCCAGAAAGTTAATTTAAAACGATCTCTTTTTGATAACGATTCGAAAACAGTTTTTCGTTAACTTTTATCGCTTTAAAATATACTTTATTTGGTAAAATGGTTTTAAAAAATAATCATAAAAAATCTTCTGTTTCAGATATTGTCTAGTTGAAAGTTCCGGTGAGTAACAAAAGTGATAGTAACTTTAAATTCTGTGACAATTATATAGATGTGCATTGAGATATTTCAGTCTGTATGCAACTTACTAAAGAAAAGAAAATTGTGTCTAAACGAATAGCACAAAATTATATGAATTGGTAGCCAGTTTGTTAAATTAACGAGGACATTTTACGGCGTTACCATTTACTCCATGGTAAAAATAAATAAATTAACGATCATAACAGTATGAAACAGCGAACAGTGTATTACATGGTACACATATTATGTGTGAATATTAAATGCATAAATTATGATAGGCTTTATTTATTATGTGCCAGGGTTTAGAAATCCAAACCTACTCCATTGTGTAACTAGCTCAAAATAGATAGGAGGTAAATAATTTGGTGTATATAGATTATTTATTAGATTTAAAATCAATAAGTTAAGTACTAATTGAGAGTAATGTATTATACTATTATACTCCAGCGTATTATACCTGTGTGCAGCAAGTATGAAACTTTATTATTCCTGATCACTTAAACAAGAAAACTATGAAAATCAACAATTAATCATTTAGATTTGTTTTGAAGGGATTACCAAGCTAAAAGGTTTTATTCAGAACATATTCAGCTAAATTGCTTATGACCAGGATTTGTTTTTTTGTGCTAAATTTCAATAGTAAGTATATAAAAACACGGACAAAATAAAACCCGTTCAAAACTCCAAGGAAGAATTTAACAAAAGAACTTCCTAAGAAATGTAAAACTGGTAATAATTAAATTAATAAATAAATACTAATAGCTTTTCTTACTACCGGGAAACAACATTCAATTAAATCATTTATACAAGTATAACAATTTTGAATATAAACTTAAAATATACAAGTAATTTCGTTAGCTGTGTAGCGATTAAATAACTAGAAAGACTAAATCCCATTTTTAATTGTGAATGAGAACGTAGCGTATTTCAGTTTGTTATGCTTTCAATAACCAGCAACAATATGTTACGTAATATGCCGATTGATGGAATTAGTTATTTAAAAATAAGTGAAATTTCTTTAAAATTTTCGCTATACCAGATCTGATAGGCGGGAGTTGTGAATAAAGCTTCGCATCTTATTTATCTTTGTCTTTCACTAAAGTTGTTAAAATACTTGATCCAAAAGAGGATAACATAATGTAGAAATGCAAATAATTTCTTATTCATACTTAGATTAAGCCTCTACATGCAAGAGTATTAGCCAAACAAGGAGGCAATCTATTATAAAAGCAGCTGAAGGAACAAGGTCAGTTGAAAACAACCCCTGGCTACGATGCAGCATCAACCCCTGTTATGCTTTGGGATTAGTGTGCTGTCGGGATAAATATCTTAAAGGGAGATGAAACCTTTTATGTACACTTCAGTGCATTATTTCCATAGTAAAAACTTGTTTCCAAGCAGTAGGGTGTTTTAGCTTGATTTGTAAATTTTGCAAGATTAATATCATATCATTCGGAGAATGTGTGGACTTTAGTATATGTTTTGGGGTTTAATAATACCAACTATAATTAAATATATTTCTCACCACATGATGGTTACAAACGTTTACTGGAGTCCGAAAGCTACATATTGCTGTCCATGCCAGCTGTCATCGTCATTTAAGGCCGAGCAGGTTTTTGCATCCCTAGAGCCAAAAATCAGCTGTTCCCTTATTTTCTAAACAAATTGATTGCATATTAAATACACAATCAGTATCTATCAATATGGTATTGCAATAGATTTGTTTTATTGTCACCGCTGCCTAGCAACTATTTATTATTATTTTAGCTGATTCTTCAAAATATTTCTTCGTAAAGCTTTAGTTGAGTTGACCTTTAGTTATTATTGTTATTCTGATGAATATTGGTAATAGGGTATAGTGTGAAGAGAAATAGCGGCGTTCGTACCACGGACGGAAATGTTTTTGCAGCTCTCGATCGTTTTAAAATTTACAAAAATTTCAAACTATCTCGAGTCAGCAAAACCTTATTTTCTTAGGTACCTACGAAATATACTAGGCTATTACATATTAGATTATAAAATTAATAGTGTAATTGCTAAAGTAAAAAAGCACACACACAACGGAGGTTTTGTTGATGATAACCGACAACAGTTTCTCCACTATCTTTACTTACATAAAATATCAGACTTATTAAAAAACACATTACGAGATTCACTATACTTAACACTACTTATGCAAAAGTAAAATTCCGTTTGCTTATTTTTTGACTTAAGTACTTCCCTTAACCAAAACATGTATTATTATAATTTTTTTAGGTTAAACTTATTCTGGTCGTACATTTGTTTATCAAGTTTAACATATTTCATAAACAGCTACGAATCATTTACTTCGAAGTCGAAAATTTTTATCCCTAATATATCCAGAGAGAATTTACAGATCGTACTGCTTTGTCATTTAAGTGCCATTAAAGTAAAAGGTGCAAAAATATTTATCAATACAATATATACCTATTTATAACTTACACATTAATATTACGATTTATTTATATAGATTTGTGATTTATCTCTTGAGATTATACATTCAAAGCTATTTACTAACTTAACCACAAAATTAAAACATGCAATTAGGGGTGCATTGTTGACTTCTAAGAAACAATCAATGTACATTAATATACAGCATGTGATTCTTCCAGTCTATTCATAACAACAATGAAGATTTGGATGTATAATTGCCGTTTATTGACTGACAGTACTCACTATTGTCGTGACAAGGGAGTGGGATTATGTAACAGGGTAGAAATAATGCAACAAAGGGTGTAATCACTTATAATGACAACATGCTGAGGTGGGGTTGGTAGCAATGGGGGGAGGAATGGGTCTCCAACACTTGTTAGCTAAAACCCTACGCTTTCTTTTTCCTCGGGGCCTCAACGTCGTGAAAATAATTGAGTGGAATACACTGTTGCAATTATCCTTAGCTTTTATTTACATAAATCTGTCAGTACCTAAAAATTTGGTATTTTTATTTCATAACTGTGTTTTGTCTATGATGTTTATAGTAGATACTTATTAAAGTTAATTTTTCTACGTACGTTAGGTTTTTGTCAATAGATTACTACAATAATTGTATTGTTTAAAAATACTGTCGATAGTTAGCAGTAAAAATTACCATATACACAATTTGGATTAGGTTTAAGAGGAAATATTATCACAAAACAGTATAACATAGTATGTAGTATACAAAAGTCCACTAGATAATCTTGGTGCTAATGAATATACCTAAACATGAAACACACTGATTTTTACAAAGATTTACGAGCCATTATAATATACGAGTGTCATGCTGGTCATCGTTTAGATTAAATGATCAAGGGGAATCGAATAGAACTAAATAAATAAAAAGGAACCAGATTTGTTTAACACAGTAAATATCTTTTCCTACTACTGAATGGAAATGATCACATTGCCATTTGCCATACCTGTAAACAGAACGAAAAGGAGTTCATTTACGCTCTAGAGCGGGAATGAATCTTTCCCGCTCGTTAATCAGTTGATTTCATAGTTGGCGTTTACACACCAACCATAGCCGTGAATCCGGTACGTCAGTTAACAACTGGGTAACAAATAACATAAGCTTAAAAAGCAAATATGACCTTAACTAAATACCTTTTACTAATATTTAATTTTTCTGATGTATCGGTGTTATATGAATGAAATATATCATGAAATAAAATTGTAATACTGGTTTGATTGTTTTTATAAGGCAGTAATTATTTTTTTTTTCAAAATAGATGCAGCTACCATTAATAACACATCCAACAAAGAACCTGCACATTCACTTGCATTCATGTTTACCATAGGACCACCAATTGCATTGCATAACTGTCGTAATTAGGTCATAAGGTTATTAAGCTATTTAGTGATTATCATCAGCGCTAATATATTAAAAACATTTTAGAATAATACTGTTACTGATCAAATAGTTTTCGATATAGATGACATATTCAATGGTATCATAAATGTCAACTTATTTACAAATTACTAATTAAAACTCGCCACATTCGCCTATCGAGTAAGGAAGTTGGAATTACTCAAACGGAACGAACGAATAAATTTGCATATACAGTAAAATCGAAAGTATACCTTGTACGATTTGTAAAAACATATATATTTACGAACCTATTTTAGCATATGGTGATGTGGTTTGCGTTTGCGGTATTTTAGGCCCATGAAATGAACAGCTAAATATTTTGAAAACCCTCAGTATTTTCTACGTTTGTTTAAGGAACTGTTCCCATCCCCCCCACATTCCATACAAGGAATCTAGCTTGCTAGTTTCTAGTCTGGAACAGTTTTACACGTTGTCGTAGAGAGTCACGGCATGACTACATAGATAAAATCCATTGGCGATTAGCAGGATTTAAACCCGGGACCTCGGACTCAAAAGCCTCGTTCTCTACCATTGAACTAGCTCGCTCCCCAAGGAACAGTCTTATATCCTTCATCGTATAAACTAGAACGCAGGTTGTCTGTTTATTACAAGTCTCCCTGCTATCATGGTCCGACGCGCCGCGCCAGATCAAGTGGTTTCCTGCTTCACCCTTCAGTCTCCAGGTGCCCCGGGGCAGCCATCTGGAAATCTACAACCCTCCAAGGGAAGGGGGGCTCATCCCCTGTGGACCATCACCATATCTATCACTTATCCCTATTGATTTATGCTCTTTTGTAATTGGAATATTGAATTTTATTGAATATATGGACTAGTGTGTAGGCAGCTACGCAGTTGGAGTAATATCTTGTAAATATTAGTCAGTGTGTTAATATTTACAACACAGATTACGCACATAAATATGGATCTTACGTATTAGTTGACTCGATATTCATATTTACTTCCAAAAGGAAATAGTAAAATATATTCTATCATCACGCAAAAGCTGTGTTTCTATTGCCTGATTTGAGAGAGAAATGGTGATATTGTAACTACTGCAAGTTAATACTTTGTAAGAAATCTATGGAAGTTTATAAGAAATCTATGAATTTAC